AAAAAACTAAAAATACTTTCACATTTTGAACAGGTAACTGGATGATTAAGATTACAGTCTCCAAAGGCATGTCATATACAATGACTAATACAGGAATTATGAACCGTGATACCAGCTGCTGTAACTTCCAGTTCTTTTGAATATTCTCGACGTATGTATCGACGCAATTCTTGTGATTTTGTTAATAAAAGTTTCTAATAAGATAAAATATATTAGAATTCATACTTGCAAATTTTAATAAAATTTATTTTTACCTTTAGAGGTTCATCCATAACATGGGCAGAAATAATTACTCCAATATCTCCAAATACCAGATAATCACAGTCATTACATGTAGAACATAATCCACCTAAATTTTCTCGGTACACATATTGACCACCTTCAAGACATGTCATAAAAGATGTATGACGCATACCATTAGGATACTCTTCTGCAAATCTTTCCCATAATGCTTTTTTTGTGTCTTGTAAGTATTTGATTGGTTTTCCTGATTTTGCATCAGTTTTGTATGAACTCATATTGACAAATTCTTTATCATTTAAAAATCTGTAAACCTTCTTCAGCAAATTATTGGTTTTACAAGTGAAGGGGATCCATAACCATTGATACGTGCATGCTTGCGAGATTCTACAATAGTATGTGAACCAACCTGTATATATTTATTATAAAAACAATATAAAATTTTACATTATTGTATCAGTAATAATTTTTTGCAAATTTTTCATTGTCTTTTTTATGTCTAGTTTATTTACATAATTTTAAAAATAAAAGAATAAATAATTCAAGAAAGTGTACATTAAAATTTTACATATAAAGCAAAACTATAAAATATTACATTCAAATTTTGTTTTAGTTCTCCATAGGTAAACTCATTGGAAATTATAGAAAGTATACGTCTTTTTCCATCAGGAGTTTTTTTGTTGTTAGCAAGTGCACGTTCAAAACACATCCAAAATGTATGTGTTGCGTTTGGCATATTCTTTGGAATACTAGTAAGAAAACCACTTTTATATAAAGCAGCAAATGCTACCTTGTCTGCTTCTCCATTTGGTGATTTTGTCCATAATTGACACTAATAAAAAAATATTTATTTTAGTGTTTGAAGATAAAAAAAATAACAATAAAAATATCACAAATTTACTGACCTTTGATTCTTCAGATAACCAAGGAGTTATATTTGTTACACCAACTGCTTTTAGCATGGTTTGCCATGCACTTAATTCACGTTCACTAAATTCATATCCTTTTGGATATATAGCATGCAAAGCAGGTTCTAATTCAATTATTGGATTTTCAGTTTTAAACCAACTTGTAAAAAAATATTTCCAATTAGCATTTGCCAGAGTTCTTCTTTTTACATGATAATCAAATAACCTTTCTAAAATATATTCATCATTCCAGTCATTAAGAGTGCATTGAGTTCGATGCTGCTGAATTAGATTTTTTGTAATTGGATTATCAAGACCATAAAGTTGTGTGCCGGTAAATTTTTTCAGTTGTCCTGTTTTTTCCCACACTTCATCTGGCGTTGCGCCTTTAAATTGTTTTATTAAAGCAGATTCTCGGTAAATTTCAACAATGCATTTTTCCCCTCAATCCGTGATACAAAAATTGACTGCTTTCTTCCATATATATGAAGAAGGGATGATTGAAAACCTGAACCTGCATAACGCCATTTTTCACGTGAAGAAGTCCCTATACCATAAATAAAAATTATACAATTTTATACATTAACAGTAACGGGAATATGTTGAATATCTTGTTTTAAAGTTTCAAGGATATTTTTGTCATTCCAACCCATTGCTTGATACCCTGAATAGCGTGTTAAAGTATTGAAATGGTTTTTATAAGCTGTAGAAATAGCCTTTGTAGAACTTGGCTCTGTAACAACATGTAAACCACTTTGACAACAATAAATTGGCATTAATTTGTTATTACCAGAATCAGTTTGTATAGTTAAAATGAAATCTACTTCGTTAAGACAAACTTTAGTCTGTTGTCCCAGCCTAATCGGAAATAAAGTTTCATTTTCATTTGAAATTATCCACCAATAAAAAGAATAAGGTCCATAGTGAAGTTCAAGAACTATAGTTCCTGGTTTTATTAAAGTAACGTGTAAAGTTGAAGCCATTATGACAGTTTTTAAAAGTTGTCAACGAGAGATTTAAATTTATTACAATTGGTTATAATGTATCTTATCCCCAAATTTACTATACACAACTCATATGATCTGATGCCGATCATTCACAGATCATGACTTAATAATTTTGATAATTCTCTAACTTTCCAGATGTACTCTACGTCAGTGTTGGCACTTGGCCGTTTGGCAGGGGTTGGCCATTTGGCCATTTGGCCAGTTTGACCGGCCAAACTGGCCAAAAAAATCTTTGGCCGTGGCCAAATGCCAATACAGCCTTAATAAAGTATTAGTATTTTGTTATTTGGCCAAAATTTGGCCGGGTTGGCCATTGGCAGTTTTGCCATTTTGGCCGCGGCCAAATGCCAACACTGCTCTACGTATTCTTCTATTATCAACCCTAATAAATTTTACTTCAAATATATAGTAAAGATGACATGATATAGCAAGTAAAGTATATTAATTATGTACAGGTACGATGGGTACGATTCCAATCGTACCGGAATACCATAGGAATTACAATATTACATGAATAACCTTTGGGTATAATTAATCACATTATAGTTGTACTTCATACCTAAAAAATAATAAAGCATAATGCCATAACAAATACGCAAAAACATACCGTAACCAAACAAATAACACCTATTTTTTCATAATATTGATTTGCAAGCCTTGTTCCTCCCTTTTCAAATTATTATATTTTCATCTTTGTGGTAAAATCAGGACCCAGAAATATATATACAGGGGTAGGGTACACAGATGCGTCACCATCATAGTGAAATTAGAAAGAGTAAAGTTTTGATTTACGTACAATCTAAGAATTTTCCATCCATAGTTAGGTCATCAAAATTTTTATCAAAATTTTTATATGTAAAAAATTAGTTTGCATATATTTGGCCTAAATTGGCTAATCTTATATATTTACTGTATATTAACCGCATTGTAATATTTAGTATTAATTGAAGGGTTTAAAAAGTTAAATTTTAGAAAAATATTATTAAAAAAATGGTAAATTGGAATAAATTCTATTTTTTCACATTAGTATTTGGTTTTATAAATAATATAGAAGTCATGATAAAATAATTAATAACTTAATGTCTGAAATTTTATTTGCATATTTTTGCAGGATTTTCAATATCAGGTGTCAATTATGCGTATTACTCATAATAAAAGTCTCTGCGTACAGCTCATAGTAAAAAAAATTTTTGCCACCTGACCCTTATATATATATTTCTGGGTCCTGTAAAATCCATTATTCGCCTTTATACCATCTACCTACAATACCATAAAAAATTTATTTTATACTATTTATCTGCTTCTATCTATGTTTACTATTTAGTATTTAAATAATTTCTTAATTTTGATCCTTTTTTACCTGTTCATTGTATATCATAAATGCGTTATTTATACATTATTCCCAGAAAATTATTGGTATCTCAGATCTTTTGTTGCCTGATACACTCTAGTTTGTGTTTCATTCTGAATATTAGCCTCGTGATCTAGTATTAAATCTGTTACGTAATTGGACAGCATTATGGGCACTTTAACAGAATTATAAGAATTTGGCCGGCGCTAGAAAAATTCAATATGTGACATCTAACATCATCCCTCCCTATAAAAATGAAATGTGTTAAATTTGTGTTCATGTGTAAAAAACGTCCAAAAAAGCACTTTTTTGTCCGATTTATGTCTTATTACAAAAAAAACAAAAATTAAACAAAATGGTGCTTTTTTAGACATTTATTACACATGAGCACAAATATTAAACAAATTTACCTCATTTCGCTTTTATAGGGCCTATAAAAAAGGAATGTTTAGAATATATACGTAAAATATACAATATACATAAAATGTCTATAGAATGTCCATAAAATATATAAAAAATATACAAAATGGGCTTACTGTATATAAAATGTACAAAAAAGTATATGAGTCCCCTTTGCATATATCCCATATATTCTATGGACATTCTATAGACATTTTATGTATAATGTACATTTTATGTTTATTTTATCTATGTTTTCTGAACATTCCTTTTTTATAGTAGGGTGACATCAAATGANTTTTATAGGGCGCATAGGATTTTAAGGCGATACTAGACTGGTCCTTTGATCTGATTTTTTCTATACAGTATAATAAATTAACAAGTTATTTTCAAGATTTGGTTATGTAATCAAATAAAATTTCATTTAATTATTAATTAGCTTTAAAGGAAATAAGTATAATACTATCTGGTAATTATACATGTAAGTAAAGGCTAATACTACTTAAATTAATTTACTCTCTACTTATGAATTGAAAATATAATTGATAAATTAAAATACTTAAAGAATATGAATAGGTAAATGCATATTTATATAAAATATTTCTGAATGCATGTAATGTACCATTTGTACTTTCAAAATCTATCATTTATCTGTATTTTAAGCAATGTTTTAATGGCAGATTATGAATAGAATTGGAAAAATATCATATTAATGAAATTGTAAAATCAATTAATGAAGTCAGTAAATTTTATGTTATGTATACTAACTGACTATTTATTTTAATTTACAGTAAATACATCATACATGTATATTATATAAATGTTATTTTAATTTACCCATAAAAAAGAATTTTTTTCTGTTACATAAAAAAAAGGTTTTTTAGTGATCTTTTTATTAAAACCTCTATAAAAAAAAAATAAATAAAATATAAAATATTGTTATAATTTAATAAAATAAAAATATATATATATTTTTCCTATACTTTCTTGCATTAAAGTATGATTCAATTGCTCAAAAAATTCTAGTATGATATCCATATGTTTCAAGATGTTTATGATTTAAATAAATCAACAGTCATTTATAAACTGTACTGGATTCTAATCTGTTGCTAAATTTTTTAATTCTTTTTTTTCTTGTTTTATTTCTGATTTCAATTTATTCAAATTCTTTCTTAATGAATCTATATCTTCCGCCATCATGCTAGAATTTAATTGAGTTCTGGTCCCTTCCTGAGAATTGGTAGCAAATTTAAAAATTTTGTATTTATCAAGATTAAAAAAATCCAACTTGAGAATATTTTCAATTTCAAGACTAACTTCCAACTCTTTATTTTCTTGAACAATATTCCTTAAGGAATAAAATTTTTTGTTCAGCTGTAATAATCCATCATTATATTTTGTGAGAATATTTTGAAATTCTTTAGTATATTTATCAGCAAACTTTATTTTAGAGATTTTATCTTCTACACTAACCATATCTTTAACAAATCCAAAAGCAATTCTTTCTTTATTAGTGAAGATTTCTAGACGATTGCAACAATTTTGCAATTTTTTAATAGCTTCTTCTTGTGAAATTAGGAAATCACCCTTGGTTTTCAGAAAATTATTAACTTGATTGAGAACCTGTTTTTTTCTATTGGCATTATAAGAAGCTGAAGTGCTCTCTAATTCTTGCTTGAGTTCATTCATCTCTTTTTGCTTAGCTTCTTTTTCTTTGTGAATCTCCTTAGTATTTTCTCCACAAGTTAATTTATTTATTAATTCTTTTTCAATTTCACTCAATTCTTTTCTTTTATCTATTAGCTTTTAATATGCTCATAATCAAGGTTAATCAACCTTTGTTCTAATTCATTTATTTTATTTTCTTTAATCTGTAAAGTTTGGGTTAATTGTATTTTGATTCGTTCTTCATTGACCAATTTTTGTTCAAATTGAGCAATTTCTTTTTCCAACTTGGCCTTTAATTTAGTAGTAAGCTTTTGATCTTGTGAGAGACCTATTACCACATTGTGTAACCTAATCTTTTCTTGTTTTATTTGTTCATAATTAGCTTGGAATTGATTTAATTGATTTTCTAATTGCTCTTTTTGCTCAATTAAATTTTCTTGCTGAGATTTTAATTCTTGAATATTAGCTCTGTTTAAACTAACATTTCCTGCAAATCAATTTTTTCTTGCTCTAACTGCTGATTAGTTTGAATTTGAATTTGCTGATTGGTTAGCTTATTTTGTTTCAAATGTTCAGTTAAATTGCCAGCCAAAGCTTGCTTTTCATTTTGCAAACAAGTAATTAGAGTCTGTAAAGTATTTTCTTTTTCGGCAAATTCTCTAATTTGTGCAGTTAAGTTAAATCTCAAATCTTGATAATTTTGTTCCAATTGAAAATTTTGTAGTTTTAAATTAACTAATTCCAATTTAATATTTTGATATGCTGAAATCATTTCTTTTAATTCATTTTGAGAAACTTGATAATAAGTTTCAGCAATCTTCTCTAGCTTAAGATTTTCATCATCTATTTTCTTATAATTAATTTGGGATTGTATTAATTGACTTTTATATTGATCTTGTTGAAATTTTAATTCTTGAATATCAGATGCTGATTGAGCCAATTGATCTTGCAGATTATTTTTTTCTTGATTTAACTGACTGATTTGTTTTAACTGTTCAGAAAAATTGCTAGTAAAGTCTTGTTTTTCATTTTGCGGGTAAGAAAGTAAAGAATTTGATTCTTTTGCAAATTACATGCTAAGTTAGATTTCAGATTTTGATTGATTTATACAAATTAATTATATAATTAAATAAATAACTTACGCCCTATATTATTAAAAAAAAATTTTTAAATAAAGAATTTAGTTAGTTTAAATTATATGTAAATATATATAAATATAATGGAATTAAAAAATTATTATTTTTTTATAGTTTAAATGAGTATAAAATGAATTATTGCTGTCTTCCACTTAACGTAACTCTTTTGAGAAATATTTATCAATGATTAATGATGATGCTTTTCATAGTTACCTTCAATGCTCATTTTGCTATTTGTTGATGCATTTATTGATGTATTTGATGTTGGTGATAAATTTATTGTCAAAGCGGGAGCTTGTCCACTTGATGTTGGAGGATTCCCATTGCTTGTTTTCACTAATGGTTCCAATGTTTTAATTTTAAATTGAACCCCCCTGAAAGATTGAATTGCCTTGCTTGCTTCACGTGCATTCCTGAAAATTGCCAGAATAATTGGCTTTTTATTTGGTGAATTATTTGAAGGATTAATATGCTTAATGGTTACATCCAATAATACAATATCCATAAGATCATCAGATTCAGCAAAATCGTAAAGTTCAAGTATGTGATTTGGTTTTTGTGGTTCATTGGCTAAAAAATAAGAGCATTATTTTTAATACGGTACTTGCATAGAATTGTCAAATAGAAGTGAACCGTTTTTATTATTCTTTTTATTGCTACTATTATTATTGTTACCCGATGTTGATGTGGACGCTCGATTGTCAACTAAAAAAAATATTTGAACAGTTTTTTAAATAAAGAATTTAGTTAGTTTAATTATATGCAAATATTATATAAATATAATAGAATTAAATAAATAACTTACGAACTATATTATTAAATAAATAATTTTTAAATAAAGAATAAATAACTTACGCTCTATATTATCGAATAAAAATAATTTTTTAAATAAAGAATTTAGTTAGTATAAATTATATGTAAAATATTATATAAATATAATAAATTACTTACGTCCTAAAATATTTGAATAATTATTAAATAAAGTATTTAGTTAGTTTAAATCATATGTAAATATTATATAAATGTAATAGAATTAAATAAATAACTTACTTGCTATAAAATATTTGAATTTAGTTAGTTTAAATTATATGTAAATATTATATAAATATAATAGAATTACTTACAATCTAGAATATTTGAATAATTTTTTAAATAAAGAATTTAGTTAGGTTAAATTATATAAATATAATAGAATTAAATAAATAACTTATAACTTACCAACTAATGAAAATATTTGAATAATTTTTTAAATAAAGGATTTAGTTATTTTAAATTATATAATTATATGTAAATATTATATAAATATAATTAATTACTTACGATCTAGAATATTTGAATAAAGAATTTAGTTAGTTTAAATTATATGCAAATATTATATAAATATAATAGAATTAAATAAATAACTATTATTAAATAAATAATTTTTTAAATATAGAATTTACTTAGTTTATGTAAATATTGTATATAATAGAATTAAATAAATAACTTACGTCCTATATTATTAAATAAATAATTTTTTAATTAAGAATTTAGTTAGTTTAAATTATATGCAAATATTATATAAATATAGTAAATAACTTACTTTCTATATTATCAAATAAATAAGAATTTACATAAATATTATATAATAGAATAAAGAATTTAGTTAGTTTAATTATATGTAAATATTAAATAAATATAATAGAATTAAGTAAATATCTAAATTCATTCTATATACTTTTGCCTTCTTCATTACTTTGAGCCATTATTACTAACTCTTCCTAAATACAACAAGGTAAATATACTGTACGTTAAACGGCTCTATTATATATAGTTATCTGTGTAATATGCAAAATGCAGATGATTGTCAGGTTTCAGAACCAGATTTATCTTGTAAAATTAAAAAGCAGTTTCAAAACTTTCCATTAAAGAATCACGCCATTTAAAGATTAAATTCTCTTTGAAAGGGCTGACTATAAAAATTCTTACTGATAATGAGGTTGTATCTTTTTTTTGTTTATTGTGTAATTATTGATTTTTTTTTTCCGAAAAATTTTGGGCTAACAGCGATCATGTGATCGCTGATCTTTTTTTTTTGATAATGCCAGCAGAGTTTTGTGACACCTTAAAATTATCTATTGGCATTATGCATTTCCGACCAGAATTAAGATGCGTAGTTAATTTGCACCGATCACTTGTTATGGTCCTGATGACCTTATTTATTCTTTTAAAATTACTACGTAACACCAGTGGTGTTCAGCACCAGTGTCACGTGTTTCTATTTGTTATTGCGTCACTCATCAGATTTATTAGTTTATTTTTTGTTTTTTTTACGCGATTTTATTTTTTTGTAGTTGCTTCCTTTGCTTTCAGTAAGTCTTTTTTCCTTTATTAATATTAACTATTCTCTCTTCTTTTCGTTCCACTTTGTCACTTCTGCTTCCATTTTGTTCTTCCACCTCCATTTCATTCCACTTCATCACTTCTACCTCCATTTCGTTCCACTTCACCACTTCGTCACTATTTGTAAGTAGTTCTTTCCACATTTTAACGGCTTTAAAACTTTGGCACCAGTATCCTTATAAATAGTAAGTTCATTTTTGGTCTTTTGGGATTGGGACTTAATTTTCTTTAACTAACTATATATCTTTCTTTTTTTGGTCGGACTTTCACTTTTTTTTTGGGCTTTATGGTTTTTTTTCTTTCCTATTATGCCTATTGTTTCTTTTTTTACCATTTCGTCTCCTATCATTCTTTTACCATCTCCATTTCGTTCTTTCATCTCTATTTCATCCTATATCATTTTTTCATTACAATTTTGTTCTGTATCATCATTTCATTCCTTTCATCACCATTTCGTCTTTATCATTTTTTTCTATCCCTATTTCGTTCTATATCACGTTTTCATCATCATTTCAACCCATACCATTCCTTTAATCACCTTTTTGTCTCCTATTTTTCTATCATCATTTCATTTTATATTGCTTTTCATCATCATTTCATCCCATATATACTGTTCTTTTCATTGCTATTTCATCTGAATCATCTCCTATTATTCTTTTCCATTACCATTTCGGTTTATATCACTTCATCATTATAATTTCGTCCTCATACCATTCCTTTCATCACCATTTCGTTCTATATCACTTTATAATTTTCTTTCATCACCATCATGTCCTATATCATTTTTTCTCTATCATCACTTCATTCTATATTGCTTTTTCTTCATCATTTCATCCTATACTTTTCTTTTCATTGTTATTTCGTCTCCTATTGTTCTTTTTCCATTATCATTTCATCCTATATTGTTTCTTATTACTATTTTTGTTCTTTCTTATTCCTTATACTCTTTTTGCCATTATTATTTATTTGACTGGGGTGTTCTTAAAAATTAAAGGTGTACGCAATTTTTTATTTTTTAGTCGGTCGTATAAAAAAATTACACAAATAAAATAAATAAGCTTCATTAATTAATTATAATCACGTGATACTGCTGCTGACCACCAGGGGTGGTAAATAGCAAACTTCTTATTCTTTTATGCGCCATAAAAGTTCTTTTTTGGGAAGAAATATGCGAAGACATCAAAATCAGCCAAATTATGAATACTTGTTAAAATAAAACGCCTTAATTTTTCTTTTAATAGATGCAACAGGATACTTAGTATTTCGATCCGGATGAAAAACTGTCATCATCCGGATAAAAGCGGGATAAATACTTTTTTGCAAAAATCAGGATTAACCCTGATTATTAAGAAATTTCAGCACTACGATCATATTTGTAGTACTAAGAGCTTTCAAACAAGTTATAAATCATAAAATACTGATCACTAGTTCATGAAATATTTCAAGTTATCCGAAATCTGCAATCCGGATGAAATCCGACATAATCTGGATGAAAACCGCGGTTTTCACCCAGATATTCACGGTTTATGCTATACATGTTGCCGAAACTCGGCAATTTCAGAATAATTTCAGGATTTGACCTTCGGCCAATCATTCCGAAACGAAACTCAAGTCGAAAGTCGAAAATCAGGCCGAAATCCGAAATTAGGGCCGGAGTACGAAAATCTGGACAAAACCTTTTTTATATAGTCCGAAATAGGAGTTGCATAATTTGAATGTTACTTTTTCGTTTAGGGAAATTATTGACATCTTTATTGCAGTTTTTTCTTTAGTGACAGCTACTTTGATTTTTTGGAAATTAATGGTGAGTTCTTTTTTTTACTCTTGTTCTTTTTTTTCGTTTAGGGACGTTATTGACGTTCCTTTTGCTTTTTTTCTTTAGTAATGATCTCTTTAGACTTTTCGTAAGTTTTTATCTTTCATTCATTTTTCATTTTCTTTTCATTTAGGGAAGTTATCAATATCACTTTTTCAGGTTTTTTTTTAGTGACGGCTACTACTTGACTTTGGATACTAATGGTGAGTTCTTTTTTACTTTAGTTCATTTTTTATTTAATTTCTTTCATTCAGGGACGTTATTGACATTACTTTTGCCGTTTTTTCCTTAGTGGCTTATTAGTTTATGTTTCTTTTGCTTTCTAAGTGACAAAATATAATTAATTTCTAAGTTATTGCAAGAATATTCAATACTTTTGTGTTTATTGTAATTTATCAATTCAAATTATTTTTATTTCATATTTATTGGGTAAAAATTTATAATTTTATTTATATAAAATAAAGTTCATATATTGTATATATAAAAATATACATTGCACATACAAAAGAACTTAAAGCTCACCAATTCCTCTAACTAAGGCTTCAATATCAAAATCATCATGCTGTGGAGACAATACGACAGCTTGCACTCTTTGGCTGATACTTTGGTCATCTTCATATTCTTGATCTATATCAAAAATTTGAGATTCAAGTTCTACCTCTTCTGTAATATTTAACATATATAATGTAGATTGATCTACTTCCGTATCAACTATATTCTCTTCATCAAAAATATTAAAGTCAGCCTCTGTAATTTCTTCTAATTCATCCCCAATTTCCATAATAGAATCAATTATTTGAGTATGCAACTGATCCTCAGAAATATCTATTGCATAATAGGATAATTCTTGCTTAGCATTTGTAATATAATAGGTATGTAATTTACACATTCCTTCTACTCTCTCTAGAGCTAAATTAGTACGCCTTTGACCATAAAACCACCCAAGAATTGAAAAAGAACGTTCACAAGATGCACTATGTGGAGTTATAGCAAAAAGTCTAAGTGCTAAAGCTTGTAATTCATCTGAATCCTGAATTGTTTCCCACCAGACAAGTGGATTATTTGAATTAGAAAATGACAGATTAAATGGCGCTCTTTTAACTTTATATTTTCGTATTTGATCAATGATTCTTTTACATGAAGCTTGGTCATGACCCATGTCTTTCCAAATTTGGCCTGCTTTAATACAAATAGCATTAAATTTTTCTTGATTCATACCCTTTCCTAAAAATAAATAAATGCTATTAATTATAACTTCATTTAAAATATTGAATTGTTATTTGAATTTTGTCTTACCACGATACTGAGGATGCAAAAAAAATGCTAAAAGATTCGTGTCATCAGTGAATTCATTCCAGCGCTCATTAAATTTTTCTATACAATAATATTTAAATTGTATATTTTGAATTGGTAAACGATAAATTGCACCTGCCAATGATACTAAATGAATATAACAGTCAGCAAGAGTTGAGGTTCTTGATTCCAAACATCCTACAGAAACTTTAAGAGGATGAAGAATAGTTGCAATAATTTTGCAATTTTCAAAAAAACTTCGATCAGTAAGAATATCTTTAACCCGACTTTTAATTTCACTTTCATGGATTGAAAGAACCTAAGTAAATAATAAAAACTTAATATTATTTACGTATTCTTATATATATTAGTAAAAAAGTGCATTTTTATATATATAAATTAAAAATTTACCCTTGCAAAAGCTAGTTCAAGTCTTGCAACTGAATTGACACAATCCCACATAGTGGACCAACGAGTTTTTGTATGACTTTTTAATCCTCCTCCTTTAATTTCTAAAACTTGAATGGCATCTTTTAGAAATTGGCACATGGCATGAGATTTTACAAAATACTGGTGAATAATGCCTACTTTTCGTATTGTTTCCACTACAAATATATGTTTGCATAAATCCTTTGTAATTAAATTAATTGAATGGGCTATACATCGAATATTTAGAATATGGGGATATCTTTCACAAAGAATTCTACGAGCAACACGAGCATCTGGTGCATTATCAGAAACTACTGCAGCCAATTTTTCTGGGCCAATCTTCTCTACAACTTTGATAATTTCATCACCAAGAAATGCACCAGTATGATGAGCAATATTAGAATAATCCTTAGATAACCAAAGGTATTCCTTACGTTCTTCAGTAATTAAACAATAATCATAAATGGATTGGCCAGAAGAATTGGTCCACCCATCAAAAGCTATGGTAAGATTAATTTCATTTTCAATGATTCTTGATACTTTGACATCAATTCTGGCAATCTCTTGAGCCAAAAAAGTATTAGATAAGATCCAACGAGTTGGAAGTGTATAAGTAGCACGCAAAACTTTCATAAATTCTTGGAAAAAAGGATGCTCAATGAGAGAAAATGGTAAATTACAGCATACAAACAACTTTACTAATGCTTTACTAATTTGAATTTCCTTATCTAATGAAGTAGGAAAATTTTCATTATCCTCATCAACATCTGTTTGTGATGTTTTTCTCCTGGTCATTGATGTTGAATTGATATTCTCATCTGAATCTTCTTGATCAATTAAAAGTAATGTTAAAACCTTGATTTTGGTGTCAGAATCAACTTTTTGACAATTATATGCAATATGCTTTTTAAGTCTTAGTGGTTTAGCAGTAGCCCAATAATACCCACAAAACGAGCATGTTGCTGCGTAATATCCTCTAGATACTTGTGCTCCTTTTTCAAAATATTCCCATATTTTGCCAGCTGGACGCCCACCTTTCTTTCTAGTATCAGTAGATCCTTCATTAGATGACATTTTAATTATTTAGTACTAATTTTACAAAAGGGACGAAAATTAAAAAGGTATGAAAGGTATAAAGAAGATAAAACTGTGTGGGAGTTTTTAATCACATATAACGCACCGTTTTGTACTAAGATTAAAAAAAGAAATCATACTCATTAATTGAGTTTCTATATTAGCATAGTTGTTTATTTAATGCAGTAATTGTTTGTTTGTTTTAGATAGATCTGTTGTACAATATACATTTAGAATAATTAAATTTATGTCCGAATTATTAACTTAATTTTGAATATTTTGAATAAAAAAAAAAAAA